GCAGGAATGACCCGGTCTACAAATCTTCCTCAATTTAAACTATAAAACTGCTATGAGACATAAAACAAAGCTGTACCCTGTGAGTACCCATCTAAGCAGCAATGTAGCCCAGTGGGTAGAAATTTCCAATTTGTTTCCATCAGGCAGGAGTGACGGATTTTTTTTTTTAAACCACTGTATTTGCTAAATATTAGTAAGGGGCAGAGCAGGGCAGGACAGCGTTCAGCTTCCTTTTAGTTCTGTTATGCAACACAGTATCGAAGAAGCACAAGAGAATTAAAAGCAATACTTAAAGCAGAAGAACCCCAACTTGTTAAGGAAACTAGAAATTTGATTTTGCTAGTGTTGCTTGATATGCAAGCATTAAACAAACCAAAACCTTTCAAGATAGCCATGATGTAATTTAGAATAGAAAAATAACTTCTGATGGTGTAGCCAAAAGGTTGGATGGAATTAATACTGCTGATAAGATTTTATTTTCAGTATTAATTTCCACTTATGAAACCTCATTAAAGTGCCTTTCCATACTGACGCCCAAACACATCTTAAGCTTTTCTTAAAAAGTCTGCTTGGTCTGAGCACACAGAAATTCAAAGCATACTGAAAGTGTCTGTCTCTTACACTCACTCTCACATCAATAAGATTGCATTAGAAAAGTGAGAACACTTTTTTAACTGATAAAACTGAAGATGACAAGAGCTATTAGACCTTAAAATAGGACACTTTCAATTATTTATACAAACTGCTCAGGGCACTCTAGCAAACGGTTTCAATACTTTTGAGTAATCATATACAGAGACAGTCTTTGAAGGTAGTGGCAATTACAATACTGGTAACACGGGCTGCTGTGTATATGCACACATATTTCGTAAAGGAAAGCACTGCAGTGTAAACATATGTATGGAGTAAATTATTCTGAGCTTTCAGTCACAGACCAATTTCTGGTAAATTATTTAAAATTTCAATTCAACTTTGGTCACTAAGGAAGCAGATTTCTTATTTTGAAGACAACTAAGAATGGTAGGCTTGAACACAAGGAATTGAAAGCTACTACATCCAGATCATGAAAATCTGGACATACATCACAACATGACATTACAGAGTAGAAGGTAAAACTCTGAGACAAAAATTCAGAGAAAGGTTATTACAAGGGCATGTCAGAAGCAACGGCGCTTTGGCGTATGCTTGAGATGTGCAGGAGCTTCCTTACAAACCCGCACCTTGTGGTGGCACAGGTTGTCATACCACCACTGATACCAGCAGCACCCACCAGGAACCCTGTGTCCAGCTTCTAGTGTGACCTCCAAATTGCCTGCTGGGGTGAGATATGGTCTCTAGGGCTGCCCACACCCTACGACAGGGTGATGACCTGGGCTGGGCTAATGAGATGGGAGGTGGGACCTGCCTGCAGATGTTCCACCATGCAGGTGAGTGGCTCTTCCTACTGGGTAACTACTTTAAAAGAAGCCTTGCTGTCACCTTGGAGAAAAGATTTGGCTGGGTGGTTTCAGGCTTCACATACATGAATCCCAAGTAGAAAGACGGCTGCCTTCCTCTAGGCCAGATTTAGGAGATCAATTTCCCCTTGACTTGGGTAGGGCTTGCAGCATCTCACTCCGCCACCATTGCACCTATCTGTGCAGTGCAGCTCTTAGCCTGTTCATTATATGGGTCCCCTTGTGAGCCTCCTCTGGGTGTTTTTAGAGTACATATCAGCTGTGTTCATTGCTCGCTCATCAGTTACTAAAACTGCATTCCCCCTGCAGTGGATGATGGCAGAGCAAATTCCTGCCACATCTCAGCAGCACGTTGCAGACACATTTCAGAGCATTATCAAAAGACAAGGAAGAGTCACATTGCGCACAGGGTTTTAAAGGCAGATGAGAACCCTGACTGATACAACTTAAGATGAAGGGGGAATTGTCAGAACTTCACTATATAAAAAAGAAACAGGAATGCTGCTCTTGTGTTATCAATCAGGCAGTTGCACGCCATGGTTGGGAAGGTCTACACTTGCATGTATGTAGTTCCTGTAACCTCAGAACCCCTTGGTCCTGGGAGACTATAAGCAGCAGAAATTATGTGTGTGTACATTTTTACGGCAAAACGCACTACTTGGTCCTAAAAAATGTGAAAACTGTGAGAGAAAAATTATGCCTTTCATGAGCAGAGACATCCCGCTGTTTGATCATCTCTGAAAATTGACAAAACTGCTTATACTGCTAGTGGACCTGCAAGTTAAGAGTGAAAAAAACCAACCTCTACAATAAGCAGTTTTGTCCCCTTCAGGGACCACCTGATTTGGACACCTCTCAATTCACAGAAGGGCAAACTTTTCTTAATTGCAGAAATTAATTTTAAATCTTGGTAAAATACCAGTCATCACAATTTCGCATCAAGTTTGCAATGCAGTGTTCTCCTTTCCTGCAAACTGTAAGCACACAGAGTAGACAAAGCACATCAATACTATACCAGGCAAAAAAGAGTAAAAGTTGAAAACTAACAGGCGCTGGCTGAGGTTGGGCCAAGACGGTGTGGTTTCCAGCTGAAGCCAAAATGGTGTCTGCTCTTACCTGGCCACCTGCAAAAATGATAGGTGCAGAGGCAGGTTTGGGACGGTAGGGGATGGTGGCACCTTTGGGTGGGGACTGCAGACAAAAACACAAAACGATCAAAATGCAGAATGAAGCAGAGCTTATATTAAAAAATTACTCCTTATTTTGGTCACCTGAGACAACAAGGCATGCAGCTAACCCAGCCCAGCCCACCCCACCCCGCCCTCCACCTCAACAGCCCAAAAGCAAGCTGGAGGCCAGTTGTCCAGGCTTCAAGGGGAAGAGCCAAGGTCGCAAATGCGCAGCCGAAACAGGCAGTGCTGGCATTCGTGGCTTCACTACTGCTACCGTCGGATGAAGCTATGAAGCTTCATTAAGCATGACAAGGCATTTCAGGAAACACAGGCACAGTTTTGAAATTTGTCGATGTTTTGGAAGAGTCCGGCCTGCGCTCTCGCTTGTTAACACAGAGCACATCTCCTGCTTATCGATCTTTCCTACACTGCTGCACATCAAGGTTTCTTGTTTTACCAACTCAATTAAGTCAGCTGTTCAACTGCAAATGAACAGCCTGATCCTGCCTTTTGTCTGACTGAGCTGGAAGGTTGGAGAAAAATCCTCCCAGCT